ATATATATATATATATATACATATATATATATATATATATATATATATATATATATATATATATATATATAAATAAATAAATAAAATAGTACAAGTAATTAAAAAGTAAATAATAGTGGTATCAATTAGTTTAGTTTAGTTTATTATATTTGTATACCGCCCTTCTCCCAAAGGACTCAGGGCGGTGAACAGCCATGATAAAACAACATACAAGACAAAAATTTAAAAACATATTAAAACAATTCAATCTTTGGCCAAAATTAAAACTTCCAATTAAAACCATATTAAACCACTTTAAAACCAATTTAAAATCATTTATCCTGTCAGACCGGCTTGCTGAAATAATAGGGTCTTCAGAGCACGACAGAAGGCGCGGAGGTCGGGGATCCTTCGTATGTCGGGGGCAATTCATTCCATAAGTTTATAAGAAATTAAATAACTAAATTTGAAGGTAGTAGAAAAAAGTGAGTTAGTAATTAAAAAACACAGGAACACAGAAGAACAATTAAAACCAAACAGAATACTTTACTTTTATGATATTGTGGAAGAATTTTACTAGAAGTTTAACAATGTCAACCACAGCAACAGTAGTTAAAAAGGGGAAAAACCTATTACTAACCCCCCATCCATGGCATCCATGGCTTCTCCCTCAAACCAACGGTCAATAGAAAATACGTTGGGGAAGAAAAAGATAAAACAGAACCGACAATGAATAGTATGGAAAGTATGCACCATTTCTCAAGGAACTTCGGGAGAATGCTAGCGCAGCATTTCAGATCTAACTGTAGGCCAGAACTTAGAGGATGGCAGAGTTCCATATTTCTGAGATAGCATTGATTAGCATTGATCAGACAAATTTTAAACAGTAGCAGCAGTTCCTTACTATTTTATATGTCCAACTAAATAAAAATGTGAAATCATAAATATATATGAGTTTATGGTATTCAGCATATCTAGAAAATGGCAGGTTAGGAAGGCTGGTTTTTGGTGTATGTTGCAATTTTCTTTGCAATAAGGTATGATAGGTTCTTTGCAGATCAATCTTTGTGATCCTTGTAAGTCCATGGGTGATGGTGTCAGTTTTGTTCACCGCCCTGAGTCCTTTGGGAGAAGGGCGGTGAACAGCCATGATAAAACAACATACAAGACAAAAATTTAAAAACATATTAAAACAATTCAATCTTTGGCCAAAATTAAAACTTCCAATTAAAACCATATTAAACCACTTTAAAACCCAATTTAAAATCATTTATCCTGTCAGACCGGCTTGCTGAAATAATAGGGTCTTCAGAGCACGACAGAAGGCGCGGAGGTCGGGGATCCTTCGTATGTCCGGGGGCAATTCATTCCATAAGTTTATAAGAAATTAAATAACTAAATTTGAAGGTAGTAGAAAAAAGTGAGTTAGTAATTAAAAAACACAGGAACACAGAAGAACAATTAAAACCAAACAGAATACTTTACTTTTATGATATTGTGGAAGAATTTTACTAGAAGTTTAACAATGTCAACCACAGCAACAGTAGTTAAAAAGGGGGAAAAACCTATTACTAACCCCCCATCCATGGCATCCATGGCTTCTCCCTCAAACCAACGGTCAATAGAAAATACGTTGGGGAAAGAAAAAGATAAAACAGAACCGACAATGAATAGTATGGAAAGTATGCACCATTTCTCAAGGAAACTTCGGGAGAATGCTAGCGCAGCATTTCAGATCTAACTGTAGGCCAGAACTTAGAGGATGGCAGAGTTCCATATTTCTGAGATAGCATTGATTAGCATTGATCAGACAAATTTTAAACAGTAGCAGCAGTTCCTTACTATTTTATATGTCCAACTAAATAAAAATGTGAAATCATAAATATATATGAGTTTATGGTATTCAGCATATCTAGAAAATGGCAGGTTAGGAAGGCTGGTTTATGGTGTATGTTGCAATTTTCTTTGCAATAAGGTATGATAGGTTCTTTGCAGATCAATCTTTGTGATCCTTGTAAGTCCATGGGTGATGGTGTCAGTTTGTTTAGCTAAATATATGAATAAGCGGAAGTGAAACAGTCACTCAAGAATCATTGTTTGAGGCATCTTAGTGTGTAGCGGTGGTTTTGTTTCCCTATTTTTTCTTTCTTTCTTGCCTTCAGTTATCAAATATGTCCAGTGATATTGAGCTGAAAAATCGGTAAAAGATCAGAGAAAAAGAGTGGATAGTAATTGATGGGACTTGAATAGATAAAAGTGTATGATTTGGTAGGAAAATCTGTGCCCTTTTTTCAAACTTGGGACACAGTAAGGGACAGAGCGAGAATCCTGGTCCTTCCCCAAATTGCTTCGTTTCAGAAAATGTAAGAAATGTTTTTTCTTCGTCCAAAAAAGTGAATTACAGGTAGTCCTCGACTTACAACAATTCATTTAGTGACTGTTCAATGTTAAACGGCACTGAAAAAAGTAACTTATGACCATTTTTCACGCTTAACAAGCATTGCAGCATCCCTATGGTCACGTGATCTAAATTCACCCACTTGGCAAGTGACTCATATTTATGATGATTACAGTGTCACAAGGTCATGTGATCCCCTTAGGGGGCCTTCTGACAAGCTAAGTCAAGAGGGAAACCAGATTCACTTAACACCATGTTATTAATTTAACCACTGCAGTGATTCACTTAACAACTGTGGCAAGAAAGGTCATAAAATGGGGCAAAATTAACAACTGTCTCACTTAATTAACAGCAGAAATTTTGGGCTTAATTGTGGTCACACGTCAAGGACTACATGTATAGAAACAAGGACTTAGTGCCACAGAAGCTTGGTCTCCCAAGTGCTGCTTCCACTTCTCTCACAAATAGTAACCATTCACTTCCATGTGAAGAAATAAACCATGTAAACTGAAACCATCATTGAGGGTGGAGTGATTTCTAGCACCAAGGATTTCCAAATTTAGAGAATTGAAAGTCCTGCAATGTACAGAATTCTGCCCAGTTTAGGTTTTTATTACAGTAAAATCAGACTTCTGGGAACTGATGAAGGGTGTCGATTGTTCTGCTACTCTCTGCTTTCTATTTATAGAAGAAGGTTCCTGTAACAATAATTGGGTGGCTATTTGGAAAGCCCTTGAGATGTTCTGTGAGATGGTGTGTCTGTGTCTGTGTGTGTCTATTCTAGGCTCTTTACAAGGGTGAAGGTGCTCTTCTGACCAGGTCATTTTGTCTCTTTTCTCTGGTAGTTGTGGCTCTAATTTAGCACAATCCATTGCAAGAAAGTATGCTATTTGTCCCCAAATAGGTGACAAGCAAATAGGCAAGGGTGATTTGTCTCTCAGAATGACACTGGAATGTAGACTATCTTGTCCTGCTGATATTATGGTATGTGGTGTCCATTTGTGGGGCTTCCTGGAGTGCCTGAATTTTCTTTTTCAGGCTGTGTTGAATATCAGAGATCCTTGTAAAGATGTAAGGCACTATTAAAGGTCCCCCACTCCCCACATATACATTATTGCAAAAAACAAAAACAAAAACAAAAAAAAAACCAACAACCAACAACCAAAAACCCCACCCCATTCTTCTCCCTTAGCTATTCCCATAACAGTACTGAGATGTTGCTCAGAATCTCCAGAGGTTGAGATGTGTATACGTGTGCTCTCAAAAGATGGAAACTACTACTGGAATATTTTTACAGAGTCCTGTAAAGTTAATTTTCAACATTTTATTCATCAGTTTGTAGGCAATTGTAGGGCAATTGAAAGGTTCGGGGACTAGTAAACAATACAAGTTGTCTTCAATTTACCACCACAATTGAGCCCAAACTTTTTGTTCCTAAGTGAAATAGTTGTTAAGTGAATTTTGCCCAATTTTATGACCTTTCTTGCCTTTCTTGTTAAGTGAATCACCACAGTGCTTAAGTTAGTAACACATTTGTTAAGTGAATCTGGCTCCTCCTTTGACTTTGCTTGTCAAAAGTTCCCAAAAGATGATCACATGATCCCGGGTCACTGCAACCGTCATAAATATGAACCAGTTGCCAAGCATCTGGATTTTGATTACATGACCATGGGGATGTTGCAAGGCTGTAAGTGTGAAAAATGGTCATAAATCACTTTTTGCAGTGAGATTGTCACTTTGAACAGTCACTAAATGAACTATTGTAAGTCAAGGACTATCTGTAATTTTGTTAAGATGCTTAAAATAGTTGGATTTCAAGCATATGGAAATATTGCACAGTTGCCTAAACTAAGTAAAACTGTAACAGAACATAATAATAATAAAAAAAACAAAAATATCTTGATATGAATTAACATTCTTGAAAAAATGTTTTGGAAGCATAAATCCAGTTTTGGCAAGCGTTCAGCTTTTTAAATCCTGTAGTATTCTCTGTTCATGCTATTATCAAGATCTGATTTTTCAAAGGAATGTAAGTGTACAATATATCTATGTTCTATGTGTGTAATATGCTATCAGATCTGGGCTGCAGAAATCTGGATGGCATCGATGGCAGTAAAGTATTAAAAAAAATAACAGTCCCTTCTTTATTCCCATCTAGAGGTAATCTGGATTTTTGCAGTTTGCAATTACTAGATAGCTGTATGTTTGGTTTTTGTTTTTTTTTAAATCAGAGTAAATTGCTTTCCCATTACATATATTTTGTAATTCTGAACTATTTTTATAACATTATATTGGTTAAATGTTTCTCAAGTAACATACTTTACTATACATGAAGATATGGTTCAATATCTGATCCACTTTCAATTGCTGAAAGTGGATCAGCCTTCCCCCAGCTATGTTCTTTCTAAATCTGCTGGATCAAAACTTCCTGGATAACATTGAAGGCATCGTTTCATAATGATGAGAATTGAAGTCTGATAGAACTGCTTGACTCTTCTTTGTTGTATCACTCTAGTGTGTCTGCTTCTGCTGCTAAGGGGAATGCAACCCTTTTTTTGTAGCCATTGTGGTATATAATTAGGGATGGGCTAGGCTAATCCTTCACGCTTCTTGTTCTCTGCAGAATTTCCTTTGCCACCACCGCCGCCTCCAGGAGAAGAGATAGTGGTGGTCCCAAACAACAATGCATTCCCTCCTCCACCTCCTCCATTTGAGGAACCATTTCCCCCTGCTCCAGAAGAGGTCTTTCCTTCCCCTCCTCCTCCTATGCTGGAGGAAGAACCCATGTTTCTGGGTGGCTTGCCTGTTTCCCAGGTGAGTCCTCATATAAGATAATGAACAGCAGGGAAAGACATATTGGGGAACTATTTTTCCATAGTTATCTTGTTCCTACTATGCTTTAGATGTTTGGGCTCCCCTGTGTGCTGGGGCAGAATCTAATAAATGAGCAGAAAGTCCCAAGGATGTCTAAATGGACATGTCTGTTAAAATGAAGTGAGAAAGAAAGGGGGTATGTTTGTAAGCAAAGCATGTGCTCCCTCCAATATTCCTTATGCTCTGCAATAATTAAAATGGAATTTTAATTGCAGTTCTGCATGAGTTTTTAAATGTCTTTGGATACATCTGTACTTTGTGCAGATACACATTGCATAGTTTATTTATAGTAGTGGTGCGGTGTTAATTTCAACCATACACATATTTCTGGGACTTGTGGGGGAAAAGGAAACCTTACATGCTGAATGATTGTCCCCTAAGCAATAGCAAGCATCTGAGATTTAATCTGTTGTTGGCCACATCCTTCAACCATCTCTTGAAATGGGGCTTTGACTCTGTGGAAGTAATGCGAATTAAGAATGAATTGCTCATTATTAGGACCCCTCCTTGGCAATCTTTCCCTTTTGTTCTGTGGTTGTGTAGTTGTATTGACTGTGTGTTGACTGACATAGTGGTTTATGGGTTTGGTAACCTCCCTCATCATGTACCTACCTTTCTTTTCTATTGTGGAAGGAGAAGGACCGTGGAAAGATGAGCAGCATTGATCTGGAGATTGATTCTTTGTCCTCAATGCTGGATGACATGGAAAAGAATGACCCTTTCAAAACCCGGGTGAGCTGCAGGACAGGATGGCCTTTCCAAACCTATCTTAAACTGAGCTAGTCAGCGAACAGAGGCCCAGCATGGCTAAACAGTTTTCCAAAAGCATTCTTTAAAAAAGAAAAGAAAAGTATTTTAAGGAAAATATGAGCTAGGATACTTTGTTTGATAGGCTAGCTTTCTGTGTGAAGATAATTTTTTAAATATAATAGAATGTTTATGCAAGAGCCATCTATAATCAGAAATGGCTGTGCCATTGCTTGACTAACTGTGTAAAAATTAAGTGCAAGTCCTTGGGCTTTGGGAAAAGAAAGCAGTGGATCAGGTTTTCTGTACTTGACTTTGAGATGAAAAATCTCTGTAAGAAAAAAAGACATTCAAACTAAATCCCAGTCTGGAGTAGCTACACTTACGTTTGTCAGGAAAAGACTTGGGTGAGAATGTATGGGCAGTGGGTGGCTGTTACCCATTTCTCTATTCTCCCTCTGGATGCTGAAACTAAACTAGATTAGCATAATCCGAGTGGGATGGAAGTAGAGATTGTTACATTGACTTTTTCTCATCATTACCTTTCAGCTATCTTCAGGGCCTATATTTCCAGCAAATGTAGGTTCTGTTTCTAGAACCTCTCTAGAAACTGTAGCTCCAACTAAAGACAGTCCAGTTCCTATTACCCAGGCTGCATCTGGTCCCGGTGGAAACTCTGTGGCCAAACAGTCAGAGGAAACGGCTCCTGTTCCTCCACCATGGGTAATAGCTATGAAGCAGCGTAAAGACTTGTCATCATCGGTAGCACCTGCTCCTCCTCCAGCTCCGCCAGCTCCATCAGTTCCTAAATTCACTACATCTCTTCCTGCCACGGGTCCAAGATTTGTACCTAAACCAGCTCCTGTGGCTCCTCCAACCTTGCCAAAACAGCCTGCTTCATTTCCTGCACAGTCTCATTTCCCAGCCCCTTTAGGCACAGGCTCAGCTCCGAAGCCTCAGCCTCCCACTTTCACTTACGCACAACAGCGAGAAAAACCGCAAGTCCAGGAGAAGCCATATCCTACTGGGCAGCCATCTGCCCCACGAGAAATGGTGAGGATGCAAATCTGTACATGAATAAAGAATTAAAGAGTGGCATACAGAAAAACCCAAAACAAAACAGGATAGCCTAGTAATTAATTTCCCAGTGTCAGAGGCAGGTGATTTTTGCTTACTCCAAATCCATAGGGAATATGGGGCTGATATCACCTGAATTGCATTTTTGAGGTTGTTGATTAAGCAAAATAGGTGTGTTTATTTTTTTGGAGGTGTAACACATTTATTTTGCTTTATATTTTAAGGAAAAAAAGCCCCCAAATCTTGATGGTTTGCTGCCAAATATTTTTAGTATAATATGGGGTAGGTGGGTTCTGAAAAAAAGGGAGGTGGGATTGGCAACCCTTGAACTGTGGACTGTCCACTTCTGTTTCATACATAGACCTCAAATCAGACCTGCTTAAGTACTTTAGCTTTTAAAACTGGAAAAAGAGCTTTAATAGGATTTCAGAATTTGGCATCAGTGCATTTTTACAGAACCAAACCTAAATGGGTTCTTTATTCTTGTCTCAGTGGCAGGTACATTCCTATGTATGGTATATCTTACATATATATATATATATTAATTAATAGTAGTACAGAAAAACAGGCAACAAATTTTTAAAAATCCAGAGAATAACTATGCATGCATTTTATACATGCATGTGCATTTATTTCTTAGTTTTATATGTTTATAATATACCATTTCCTTTAAAGTACATATTTTCTAGTTTTTGTGGGGAGGGGGATGAAAGAGAATGATTGTTTCCAATCGAAGCTATGAACGTTTTGCATTAGTGGAAATGCAGTCATTTTTTACTTGAAAATTTACTAATTAAATGCCACTGATACAATAAAAATAATCTCTCCCCTTTTTAAAAAAAAAAAAAACACTTGGTCATCTAATTGTAAAGTAAAACTTGAAGAAAGAAAATGTAGACTGAATAGAAAGGGCAAATGGCACAGGAATTTCTTCATTGATCAACAATTTTAAAAGGATGTGGGGTGCTTAAAAGTTGGAGATTTGCACTTATCTCAGTTAATCTTCTTTATTTGTCCAGCGCAACCCCATATTTCTTCCAAACGCCGGATCAGATCCACCTAGGAACAGCTCTGCTCTGACCATGAAGGAGGTAGAGGAGCTGGAGATGTTAACCCAGAAGCTCATGAAGGACATGGATCATCCACCCCATGCTGAAGCCTCCACTTCTGGTCTGTGGGGGCGTGTGGATTTTAGGGGGGTTAGGAGAGAGGGGGATTACAATCTATTTGCTCCTTTTCTTTCTTATAACAGTTTAATACAGAGGTGGGAAATTTTCTTAACTTTTTGATCTCCAGGAAACCTTTCAAAAAAGACCTACTTTTGCAATCATGCAAGAGCAGATAACGTCTAGAGGGATTAATACTGTACTTACGTAAATATCTTCTCAGACTTTTTTCTCTCTCTCTCTCTCCCCCCCCCCTTTCTTCCCATTGAAGAATTGTGTGGTTTGTGCAGTAAGGCACTATCTCGGACTCAGCCTGCAGTCCGGGCCTTGGACCAGCTCTTCCACGTTGAATGCTTCACCTGTTTTAAATGTGAGAGACAGTTGCAGGGGCAACAGTTCTACAATGTGGATGAAAAGCCTTTCTGTGAAGAATGTTATGCGGTGAGCAAAATGGTGGGGAATGATAAGGCAGCCAATCATGGAAACTTGGGAGAGGGGAGAAGGAGCGTGATCCCTATTGTCTTAGCAGTGCACGGCCGGTTTTCATGGGCTCATTTTGAGGAATTGTACTGTCAGCTGATGAGAGCCACCTGTGTAAATTATGTGGTGAACTTTTATGCTAGCTTGACAGTCCTTGGCCAGTTGTTTATTATTATAAGAGGAAGCAGATTCCAGATAAATAAAAATACAAATTTTGGCTGTGTTGGCTAGAAGTTGTAGTTAACTTAACTGAAGGGCCTCAGATTATGAAAAGCAGTCTGCATGAATCATGATTCACAAAGTTCCAAAGCCATGTTGAAATGTTTGGGCCCAAAAAGTATATTCTGTGTGAGTTACCTTGAGTACTAATCTGAGAAATGCCCACATTTTTCCTTCTGTGCTCCCACATAGCTCTTAGTTTTAAATATCACAGGATGGGTCACATAAGAAGCTCAACCACAGAGAATGGCCAAATTTGTGGAAAAGTTTAATCTGAATTGTATCTTGTATGTAGTCAAGTACATACAAAGATGTGTGCATGCTCAAGTTAACTGAATAACCATTCAATTTCACCTGATAGAAAATTACTTTCACAAGAGGAGGCTATAGGAGAAAATTTCAAGGGTTTAAGCATTATTTCTGGAGTTTTCAATTCAGATGAATGAGAAAGCCAGTGCAATGTCCTGGCATATGGGAGATTAAAGTTACTAAAATAATCTCAATCTAAGGTTGAGTTTATTTTCTTCAGTTTCTCTTCTTGACTGTTAATCTGGTTGAATTAAGTTGGCTAATGTTGATGGATTTGTCCTACCAGAGAAAGAGGTAGTGCTTTCAACTGGAGCAGATGTGCTTCCTTTCTGATCCGCTTTTTGTTCTTCAGGGCACCCTAGAGAAATGCTGTGTTTGCAAGCAAACAATCACAGACAGGATGTTGCGGGCCACTGGTAATTCTTACCATCCTCAATGTTTCACATGTGTGGTGTGCCACAAACCCTTGGAAGGGGCATCCTTCATTGTGGATAAAACCAACCAGCCACATTGTGTTGATGATTATCACAGGTATGTCTCCTGAGTTTCACATTCTCCTGTCTGGCCACAATGATCCTCTGTGCTCTCAAGCTTGGATTTGACCAAAGGCTGAAACTTGAGTTTCTGAATCTGTCTGTATTTTCTCTTCTGCGCTTGCAGAAAATATGCTCCTCGCTGTTCAGTATGTGCTGAGCCCATCATGCCAGAGCCTGGGAAGGATGAGACTGTTCGTGTGGTGGCCCTGGAGAAGAATTTCCACATGAAATGTTACAAGTGTGAGGTGAGCACCTTCTACCTTTTTCCTCCCCACTTCTCCCTGACGTTGGCATTTAGTCTACCTTGCTCATTTCTTTCTCTGTTAACCTTTCAGGATTGTGGGAAGCCCCTGTCCATTGAAGCAGATGACAATGGTTGCTTCCCTCTGGATGGCCATGTGCTGTGTAGGAAATGTCACACCACACGTGCCAAAGCTGCGGTCTGAGGATCTTGAATCAGGAGATGCTCTCAGTGTATTCCTCCTGTCCAAAGTAGCAGACCTGATGATCTTTTGTATGCTTTTTCTTATGACTCCTCCTTAGGATCATGAACGCGTTTTGCCTGTCTGGCAATATCCCTCCCTTTTCACTAAGGGCTCCTCCACTTCTTCTTTTTTAAAAATATGTATCGCTTACAATACAAGGTCTTAAGTCCTCACTTTCTGGCTTGGAAACTTACCTTGCTATAAGCCTTTCGGTCTTACTGAGTAATAAAATAATCCTGGAACAAAAGGCTGGATTCTTCCAACCTGCTTTTCCTTTGTGGAGCTTTGCCCTGTCCTCTGTTCAAATGTGGAATGTAAATTACTATTTTATATCTTATTTTAGAGACAGAATATACATTTCACAGCTGGCTTGTTTTCTGTACTGGACTCTCTTGCCAAGATGCTTCTCTGTGTCCGCAGGAGAACTTTTTGTTCCTGAGTTAATGGACCAGTTTTCTCCATGTGTTTCCCAAATCAAGGTGGTTCCTCTTTTTGTGTGCGTGAACGTGTGATACTTTGGTCTAATCACTTCTGCGCTGCACACTATTCAAAGGGCTACTTATTTGTTTACAATGGACTTTTTTGGAGTTTATTGTGAAGCTGGCATAGTGATGTAATCAGGAGTTGTCCTTCCTCAGCTATTGTTTTGCATCAATAAAGTTGTGCAGTTTTTTTCCTCTGTTGTCATTCCAATCATTTATTTATTTATTTATTTGCATTCCACCTTTATTATTTTTATAAACAATTCAAGGCAGCAAATATATCTAATGTTCCTTCTTCCTCCTATTTTCCCTACAACAACCCTGTAAGGTGATTTGGGCTGAGAGTGAGCGACTGGCCTGAAGTCAGCCAGAGTTCTTGTGTTAACAATACCAGAAGTCATCTTGTCTTTCAAAGCACCAGGCTTTATCTCTTCTGCCTTAAAGATCATGTAGAACAATGGCCCCCAACCTTTCGGGCACCAAGGTTCTCCACAAAAGTGGAGAAAGGTTTTTCCACGGACTGGAGGGGGCGTGGTTTTTTGTGCTGCCTGCGTATATACCATGGATGGGGTTCCGCTTGTTTGCATGGCCCGGTTGCTGGCATGCCATGTGTTGGAGACCCCTGATGTAGAAGAAAAAAAGTAGGCTTTGTCTTTTAAATTGACTTTGCAGACAGAAGGGCCTATGCATTCACTTTCTGACTTCACTTCTTTATTCAATTAAAACAGGGGTGCAAGATACAGTATTCTTGAACCTTTCCAGCTTTTCTGGAGAGGGAACCTTTGGCAATGCATTTCTCTTTGGAAGGTATGTTCTGCTTAATCTGCAGACTGGACATCCACAAAAATTATACTGTACACGAAGTCATAAATTTACCACTGATGAATTTGGTCTTTCAATTTCATACTGTAGTTTGGGAAAATAGCAAAGTTGGTGGAGGCACAAACCGAAACAAGAATGACTGCTGCTGTTGTAGCATTTAGCTTTGGGTGCTGTTCTGGAAGCATTCTTCAGATCACATTTCTAATCACAAGACATCCTCAAAAATTTGCGATGGGAAAATATGGGAGGGATTTCAAATAAACAAGAACAATTGGGATTCTATGTTTATGAATGACATTGGTAAGGAAGGCCTCTAGAACTGCATTGGACTGCTGACTTTTCTCTAGAGTCTTGGGCTTGGAATAACTATACAGAAAAGAAAGCATGCTTAAATATGTGAGCAGTGTAAATGGAATGAATTAAAAAACCTCTTACAAATGTCATTGTTTCTTACTGTAAAACCTTTGTGGAGGGAATAGTAAAATTCTTAATCCATATCTGGTCGAAATACAGTATGGGCCAAATTGTCTCCATTTTTTTGCAAATCAGTTTGTATATAAACATGGCACGATAACATGATGTTATAATTACCTTGAAAGTTGCTTGTTTTTTTTTAGTGGCTCAAATCTTAGCAATTTCCCAAAATATAAAATATTATTTTAGATTTCTGTAGATAACCATTTAAAGGTGAGGTTTATGTATACCGTGGGACTGGCAGATGTGTTGTTACTTTGCCTTGGCTTGTAGTCCTCAAAACCCTTTTTTTAGTTGTACAGCAGCCTGTGTGAAAAATAATTAGGAGCCACCGGCTTAGCTTATTGAATATTGCTCTTGTGCGGTATTCACACAACCAATTTTGTTGAAAAATTGAAATTGTTGGTCAGTGCACCCTAATAGTTTTTCAACAAACAGACCGTTCGTTAGTGTTTTGCAATCAAATGAGAAGCTGCCAAATGTACCAGTAAGCATAATTGGTGCGCCTTAGGTTAAAGCTGGATTTTGTACAAATTTGTTTTGTACAAATGTAGGCAAGAACATTTGGTTTTGGCAAATATACTTGCCTACATTTCATGCTCACATAATCTTCCTTAGCTCTCTGTTAAAAAAATGTGGATGTCTTTTTTTCTTATTTAAAAGAGCCACTTTTACAGTAAGTACAGAATGAACTTCTGAAATGGAAATTACACCAATGAATCCATAGAAGTATTTTCATGTTCATTTGCTTCTGTATATTTTCTCCCCAGCCTCCAATCTCCAATATTCTTAAAACTCATTCCTTTCATTTTGATCTGACATGTATTTTAACTGGCACAACCCACTTAGATTTACAATCTTTTTTTAAAAAAAACTTGAGACGTCCTTGAAGAAGATGGCTGTATTAAAGCACTTGATGTTATGAAAACACCTTGTAGAGTTACTGTTGTCCTGTGTATAAATGGCATATCTGATGGTGTTTTCTCCAACAACTCTTCTTTCACTAGGACTTTGGCGTAGAACCTTATCTAGGGCCATTGTTTCGATGCTGCATGCTTGGACTTTCTTTTAATAGAATAGGTGGAAAAGGCCTTGATATACCCTGGTGTAGAAGCAAATACCAGAATCTTCACTGTGCCACTCACAAGTGCATGTGTGGATATCTCCATGGTTTTGAACTTACACAATAAAAAAGCTGGTGTGTTATGAAGCAAATCACCAGCTTTCATGATCATCTTGGGTTCTATAGAGACTTACTTGGAAAATTAAAATGTCAAGTGCCTATGCTACAGAGCTTGCTTTGTAAAATTTGCATCTTGCCAGAAAAACACAATGGTAAACTTACATGGATAATTGCTACTTTGGAGGGTTGTAAAGGGTGATATGAGTACTATCTCATTAGTTTCGCTTCTTTTAAAGGCAAAGTTTTGAGATTAGCTATTCCCATTGAAGGATGCATGAACATATCTTCCCAATATCAGCCTTTTTCACTGAACATTCATACATAGTATACACATACACACAAAGTGTCATTTGACTCCAAAAGTTTGGGGACCCCTGAGCTAAGAGGTCAAATATAAGGTATTGTAAAGGGTTCATAGTTTGAGCTCATACTGAATTTGATTTTGCACTAAAGAGCAACAGTGATTACAACGAAAACTGAAGAAAGTGATAGGACACCACTTCCCTAAATATCAAGGCAGTTACAGAAGGCACCTCAGTAAATGCAACCAGATCTCATCATTTTTCCTTTGCTTCATATCTTGGTTGATTTTCATTTCCTGCCAAAAGATACTTTATGTATCCTTCAAATGTTCTCCACCTGCTAGCTGTGCTGTTGTTTAGGGTTTTCTAGGGGACTGGAGGCTAAAACATATGATGAATGGTTGCAGGAACTGGGCATGGCGAGTCTATGAAGAGAAGGACAGGGGAGACATGATAGCAGTGTTCCAGTATTTGAGGGGCTGCCACAGAGAGGAGGAGGGCAGGAGGAGGGCAGGCTGTTTTCCAAAGCACCTGAAGGGCCGGATAAGGAATAATGGATGGAAACTGAACAAGGAGAGATTCAACCTGGAAATAAGGAGAAATTTTCTGACCGAGCAATCAACTAGTGGAACAGCTTGCCTTCAGATGTTTTGGGAGCTTCATCACTGGAAGTTTTCAAGAAGAGACTGGACTGCCATCTGTCAGAAATGGTGTAGGGTCTGCTTGGACAGGGGGTTGGACTAGTTGACCTACCAACTCTGTTAATCTGAAATCTAAAATCATGTGCACCTAAGCTACATAGAATCTTTCTGTCTTGTATTTATGGTTCCAAGCAATCCCTTTATGTGACTCCAATATTCATTAGGTATTCCTATTCTTCCAGATCTCTGTAATGCTGCTATACACTGCATAAAACATTTACAAAACATTTCTTAAGTTTTTAAGCATTTCCTTTGTTCTAACGTGCAAAAACCTACTTTCCCCTTCTGTGATGTTTTTAATAGCCAACTTTGAAAAATAGAAATGGTCATGGGACAAAAACTCTGATCTGCGTTATGAGTTTATTTAGAAAATCATATCTACAACATATGATCGATCCAGGTCTGGGTTTTCTCCCTTATACCACCCCTTCCTGTTATTTTAAATATATAAGCAGGTCCTCAACTTGAGGAAAAAAACCTCCCAAGAGCAAGTGCTGGTTTGCTTTAAACAAGCCTTTTCTGCTCTAAGGAGTAGATTGCAGAGAGAGAGAAAAAAACCTTATATACAAAGGAACATGAACTTTGACAGAACAATGAGAACTAATCCACTAAATCAGGGGTCCCCAACCTTGTCAACTTTAAGACTTGTGGACTTCAACTCCCAGAGTTCCTCAGGAAAACTGGGTGAGGAACTCTGGGAGTTGAAGTCCACAAATCTTAAAAGTTGCCAAGTTGGAGGCCCCTGCACTAAATGACAAGGATAGGTGTTCATGCTCTCTGCAAACAATACTGTAATAAACATCTGGCCACAAACATCTGGAGGCCTAGAGTCTGCAGCAGAAAAAGTCCTTTCCAGGTAGGTATGGTTTCACTTCAGTGTTTCCTTAACAGTGGCATGTTATGTCCTCAGTAGCTATAAAGTATGTCAAGCCAAAAGCCTCTGCAAGAGTGGAAGAGTGAGAGAAGAGCAACATCTGCTTTTGAAGCATGTGCTGCTTTTTGGTTTCCTGTGCAGGAAGTTGTTTCCTGTTCTAGGCTACTCAGCCCCAGCCTGTGCATTACGTTTCAAGGTGCAGCTGTTCGCCTCTGGCTTCCGATTCGCAGGAGGGCCGCCACAGGGTCACTTTTTTAAAAATCTTCTGCAAAAGTCGGCAGCAACTCTTGTTTGGCACCTGGCATGTTTCACTCTTTGAATCCCTGGATGCTGCACAGAATACGCTTCTGGTGGCCAGGAAGAACCACGCCCATTTGCTTCAAGTCCCTTCAAATCACACAGATAAGGAAAAAGATTAGCCACTGCATTTGTTAGAGAAGAGGAGCAAGTTGGAGAAATGGACCATTTCCTAGAGTGTTGGTATCCATGAAAGGCAGCCCTCCACCCCACTTCTCCAGTTCCATAAAATAAATAGAAAATTATTTCTCAAGATCCATTTTTCAGAAAATGACATGAAAAACGGAACTTAATTTAATTAAATTAATCCCAATTGCTGGGTCTAGCAATGGGAGGTGGCAAACGCTAAGAGGGGAAGACAGACACCATATTTTGCAGTGGCTGAAGATTTTATAATGAACCCAAAATGCGTAATGCTACTGAAAAGGGGAAGGGGGTGCAAAGCTTTAAACAGCTAATTTTATTTCTCGTCTTACAAAGAATAGACCAGTGTGTGTCATTGTATTACAGCATGGTTCTAATTTAAATCTATACCGGTATA